AATAAGATAGACTAGTATCTACAAAAATTTTATGCATTCATGACTTGCCTTTTGTGGTTTTTTGTTTGGGGGGTGTGTGTGTGTGTGTATGTGTGTTTCTGTGTCTCTCCCATGTGCTTATTTTGACCCCTGGCCACTCACAACCCACCATCATTTTTTTTTTTATAACTGGTTCAAAGGACAATTGTTTTTAACTTCTAAGTTCAGGGGAACATGTGCAGGTTTGTTATGTAGGTAGACTCATGCCACAGGAGTTTGTCGTACAGATTATTTTGTCACCCAGGTATTGTGCCCATTACTTATTTTTCCCGAACCTCTCCCTCCTCCCACTTTCATCCTCCGGTAGGCCCCAGTGTCTGTTGTTTCCCTCTTTGGGTCCATGTGTTCTCATCATTCAGCTCCCACTTATAAGTGAAAACATGTGGCATTTGGTTTTCTATTCCTGTGTTAGTTTGCTAAAGATAAAGGCCTCTGGCTCCATCCATGTTTCTGCAAAAGATATTATCTCATTCTTTTTACCGGCTGCAGAGTGTTCCATGGTGCATATGTACCACTTTTCTTTATCCAGTCTACCATTGATGGACATTTAGATCAATTCCATGTCTTTGCTATTGTGAATAGTGCTGCAATTAACACACATGTGCATATGTCTTTACAGCACAAGAATTTATATTCCTTTTGGTATATACCGAGTAATGGAATTTCCTGAGTCAAATGGCAATTCAGTTTTTAGCTCTTTAAGGAATCACCACACTGCTTTCCACAATGGTTGAACTAATTTACACTCCCGCCAGCAGTGTATAAGTGATCCCTTTTCTCTGCAACTTCATTAGCATGGGTTATTTGTTGAATCTTTAATAATAGCTATATGACTGGTGTGAGACGGTATAGCATTGTAGTTGTGATTCACATTTCTCTAATGGTTGGTGATACTGAGCTTTTATCATATGCTGATTGGCTGCATGTATGTCTTCTTTTGAAAGTGTCTGTTCATGTCCTTTGCTCACTTTTTAATGCAGCTGTTGGTTTTTTTTTTTTTCTTGTAAATTTGCGTAAGTTCCTTATAGACACTGGTTCCTATTAGACCTTTGTCAGAGATGCAGAGTTTGCAAAAATTTTTTCCCATTCTGTACATTGTCTGTTTACTCTGTTGATAGCTCCTTTTGCTGTGCAGAAGCTCTTTAGTTTAATAGATCCCATTTGTCAATTTTTGCTTTTGTTGCAATTGCTTTTGGCACCTTCGTCATGAAATCTTTGCCCGTGCCTATGTACAGAATGGTACTGCCTAGATTGTCTTCCAGGGTTTTATAGTTTGGGGTTTAGGTTTAAGTCTTTAATCCATCTGGAGTTGATTTTTGTATATGGTGTAAGGAAGGGATCTGATTTCAGTCTTCTGCATGTGGGTAGCCAGTTCTCCCAGCACCATTGATTGAGCAGAGAGTGCCTTCCCCACTGCTTGTTTTGGTCAGTTTCGTCAAAGATCAGATGGTCATAGGTGTACGGCCGTATTTCTGGGCTCTCTGTTCTGTTCCATCAGTCTATGTGACATACCTAACTTTGACTTAATTTTTTTCAATATTTCTAAGCTATGCAGTTCATCTGTGAGTTTTTTCAAATTGTCACATATCTCCAAAAAAATTTCCCATTTATTGAAAAAGATCTCCATATAAGTGGACCCAATGCAATTCAAATCCATGTTGTTCAAGAGTCAACTGTATGTCTTTTTTATCATTTTCCTTTTTTCTCTTTAACATAAAATACATTGCATAAAATAATTGAAATGATAAAACGATTATATACGTTAGGCATATGAGGTAGAAGTATAACATATGTGACCATCAAAGCACAAACAAGGGAGGACGAATGGAGCTATACTGGAACACAATGTCTGTATTTTCCACGAAATAAGTTAGTATTAATCCAGTACAGATTGTATTAAACTAAGATGTACAGTTTAACCCTTGGAGCAATCAATAATAAAATAACTCAAAAACACAGTTTTAAAAAAAGAAACAAAGAATTAAAATGTATACAAGAAAATATAATTTAACACAGTAAGAAAGCAGTAAAAGATAAAGAGAGGAAAAAAGATACGAGATATAGTGAAAATAGCAAAGTAGCAGACACAAAGCCAAGCATATGAATAACTGTATTAAATGTGAGTGGACTGAACATTTCAGTTAAAATGTAGAAATTGTCAGGCCAGATTTTATCATTTTTAAAATGATAACTCATGCAAACAGTAAATAAAAGTGGGCCAAAGTGGCTATACCAGTATCAGGCAAATAGACCCTAAGACAAAAATATTACCAGAGAAAAAGAGACATTTAGTAATGATAAAGTTCTATTCATTTGGACGATGTAATAATTATAAAAGTATATACACTTAACAACCAATCCTCAAGATACATGAAGCAAAAGCTGACACACTTGAAAGGAAAAATACCCAATCCAACAAAATCGTTGAAGACTGCAATACCCTTCTCTCAATCACTGAAAGAAGAGTTTCACAGAATATCAGAGGTAATGTGCAAGAGAAAAACAGAACTGTTAACAAGCAGGACAAATCTGACACTCATAGAATGCTCCACATAACAGCAGCAGAATACACATCACAAGTAGAATATTCTCCAAGACAGATCAAATGCTAGACCATAAAACAAGTCTTAAAAAAATTAAAAGGACTGCAATTGTGCAACATATGTCCTGTGACCACAAGTGAATTAAATAAGTCAAAAACATAAAGAAACACGGGCAATCCACCAATATTTGGAACCTTCAAAACATACTTTGAAATAACCCATAAGTCAAAAAAAGAAATTATATGGAAAATTAGAAAATATTTCTAGCTTAATGAAAATGAAAGCACATTACATGTTAAACTGAAGAAATGCAGAGAAGTGGTGCTGGGGGAACAGTTTGAGGAATACTATCTTTCTGTGTTACTAAATCTTTCTGTTTGAGGAGGACACGAGTTTGTAAATGAAGTCTCAAGATTTAAAAGTATTGTGAGTAATTTTGTAACAACAATTGTAACGGAAACCATACATATTACTGATGTAGTCTTTTCCGTGATAACAGAAATTGTACTTAAATATTACACAAAATGAAACAGATCCAGGTCACACTACCTCGTAAACTTGCTGTTATAAGTAATTTAGCTCCAGACTCAATTTACAGCAAATTATATTTTATAGAAAATGAAATTAGAATGAGTTTACAAATCACAAACATAATTCATGAAAAAAAAAAATAAGCAGTGCTATCAGAAATCTCTTAGAGGCTAAGGTAAAGCTGGTTAACTTAAAATAGT